CTCCCTAATGTCTACTTCTGGCTGAGATCTTGAAGCACTAGTGACTTATGAAAAAAAGATACAAGGAAGCCAGGAATTTTCACTCATTCCACATTCCTTTGTTACTAAGTAAATTAGTATCTTTTCTAACTAGGTAACTAGGGGTCATTTTTATTTCACTGTGTATGTGGAATGTGACAGTCTCTTCCAAGGTCACCTCAGCTTCATCATATGGAATCATTTGATAGAAGTTGATATGAGGATTCTAAGAGAGTTATCAAAGACACAGTATAAACAATAGATTTATCCATCTAGAAAGCAGATTCTTCTTGTAGAAAAACCTTGACGGGTAAACAGAACATGCAGAAAGGGCCAAGGCCCATAAGAGTACCTTGATACTATGAATGTTTCAGTCGGTGTGAACTCCTATTATGACAGGCAACCAAGGTCACAGAAACATGACTGGTACACATGCTGAACATGCGCTGATCCGTTTACAGGTTTTTCAGTGATCAGTACTCATCCTGAGTATACACACGGACTTTGGACTCCCATCCAACAATGTGAGATGCACTCTCACCCTCAACTCTTGGGGGAGGGTCCAGGCCCTGCCCTGGATGAAATGACAGACTATGGACACCCCCATGGAGGGCCTCACCCTCCCTGGGGAAATAAGGGGATAATGGGGGGGCGGTTGGGGGAGGGCACAGGAGGAGGGAAGGGAAACGGAGAAGGACCTGGAACTGACTTGTGAAGCAACCTTGTTTCTAATCTAAATTTAAATTTAAAATAAACAAATAAATAAATAAATAACGTAGATAGAAGTAAAGACAAAAAAAAGAAAATGAAATTTTAAAGAAAACTGCTAAGCATGCTAAGTAATATTGTTTAAGAAAAATTAGTATTACAGTTCAGTGATAGATAAACTTGAATATGTAAAATCACTATATTTTTGATGTCTATCATCTAAATGGACGTGAGACAAAATTCATTTTGTCTGATATTGGTACTGTGAGCCTCCTGATCAAAATGAACTTGCTCATTGTTAACCAATGCATAGCAACTACAATCAAGTTTCAAAATTGCTCAGGCCATAGTTTTCCTACAGCATGTTGTCAAATGACAAGCTGATTTTCAATATCAGCATTGGAGTTTAAGGACTGTCCAGTTGTTGGAGAGACACTGATTTTAGTGATAGCAACTTTGTCAAACAGGCAAAGAAAGGAAGACTGGATTGTGTCTATCAGCACATTCTCCTGCTTAGTTCTCCATGTGAAAGGACCTTGGGTGTAGGCGATGAGGAAAAGTGAAGATTCAAAAATGCTATTCCTACAATTCAGCATTCTCAGTGAATGTCCAAATATATATAAAACATTAAAGTGTAGGGAAATTTCCCTTGATGGGAGGTATTTCAAAACCATTCTGCTGAAATGAAAAAATATTTTGAATTCCTAGTACTGAATACTGTTCAACTCAGTGACTTATTATTTTAAGGAACACTTCAGTTTCCATTTAATAAGAATTCACAGGCAGGATTACAATAAAGAAATACTTAGTAAAATACAGAAGAGCTGGGGTTAGAGAGAAGGGTAGTTCAGGAAAGAGCATGGACACCTCTTCCTCTGCCCAGAGGAACCAACTGGTTCCCACACCATGTCAGATGGCACCCAGCTGCCCATAGCTCCAACTCTGGTGGCTGGTCTCCATGAGTGTATGTCATATGCATACACTCTCCACATTAACATATGCACACACATAAGCACACTAACACACACATGCACACATTAACTAATACACACACTAACATACACACATACTAATACACTCACTAATATAGACATATATACACATTCACATATACAAATATATACCCTTATAAACAAACACATACACACATACATATGCATATGTACATATATATCCATACATACACACTCACATACACACCCAAACACACACAAATAATACATCTAAAAATACACTATTGAATATATTAAATTACTTAGTATTATTGGTTATTAAATAAAAATAATTCATAAATGAAGAATAAATATCTTGATGCTGAAACTTTACATTTTGAATTACATAGTTCTCTGCAATGTCTAAAGCAAGCACATATAGAAATAGAAAACAGTGCAACTAAAAATATTTGTCAACTTTGTATATTTGTATGATTGGAAGAGTCATTGAATTTACATAGCACAGAGTAGTAATATGCTCTCACTCTGCATCTTTCTCTGTATATGTATGCATATATATATGTGTGTATATATATATCATTATTTTAATTGAACCTTTGAGATAACAAATAACCATGGCATTTCCAGCTAATAAAGAATAAACATGGAGCACAAAGAACAAATAATGATGCATGAAAAGCTCTAAACACAAGTAACAGCCATTGAGCATTCTAGAAGGTATTTTTTTTTCAAGCTTTTCAGACAATCACAACTGCTTTTACCTTCTGACCAACAAACTAGGCCAAAATTGTAAAAAATGAAATCACAGTGCTTTGAAAACCTAGAAGTGCAGCCCACACTTTACTGACTTACTCGATCTTCTTCATTTCAGAAGTCTCTCCATGGTGGTTTCCTACCCACTTATTAAAAATTGAAAGACAAAAGCTGTAAACACCCAGGAACAACAGGCAGCCCGCTCTGAGTGCACAGATGAGGAGGATGTTTTCAATGTTTCCCTGGTGTTTCTGACAATCATCTATGTCTTAAGCTACCTGATTTTGACTGAGGCTCGCTTACAACAACCTGACCATTTGAGCAGTAAGTGAAACATAGGTTGCCAAGTAACAAATTTAGTCCTACCACCTTGACACCTAAGTTGATGAGAAGACAGTAGTTGACTACTGTTTACTGGATCCATTTCTTCCCTGAAACAAGCCAAATTTATCTACACTACATTCTTGAGAGTCTACATCATTCTAGAATATTAAAAACACTGCCATATAATCCAATTTGCCTGTGTATGCAAAATATACAAATATATATATATATATGGAAGCAATTTCATTCTAATCCATGTAAGTCGATAATTTTATTTCTGTTTCTGTTCCATTATTCCTTTCTGGCATATCTTTTGATGTCTTAGAATACTGCTAACATTAAAATAACCAATTAGAAGATACATACAAATATAGGTATATGATAAATGCATATGTATGTAATATATACATATGTGTATATAATATATGTGTAATATACATTAATATGTATATAAATACTATAGCAGAAATAAATGATTTTGAGTTGAATATCACTGTCATAATTCCTATGTACATAAGAGAATCTTTAAAGTCTTAGTAAAAGTAGTTTTGATATTGAAAACATTTTTCATTCTTTTTTTGTGTGTGTGTACAGATCCTAAAAGAAAGCCAAATACAAAATCAATGCAAGAAGGACTATTCATAACAACTAGAACAACACATATCTCTAATTCTGCCAATAGGAGTAGAAAGTACTCCATTTATATCCTTTATTTCATGGCTGCTTACTCATAGTCACTCATAGTAGATCTATTTGCCTTCCATGTTAAATAAGTCAATTACTATGTGTAACAAGCAAACCCATTTCATTATGCAAATTGTTTTATATTTTGCATCACTATTGGTTTCTACCTCTTTTAAATCAATATGCTTTTCTAATAAAACAAGCATTTTAAAGGAATGGGAATCTGACATTTTAATCTTGGGAGCATTGTTACTGAGTATTTTTTGCCCAGAGAGGATGTGTGTGACAGGTAGAAATCACTCCTGGTGCAGTGCAGGACATCAGGCCAATCTGCGTCTGAGAACACAATATTCAGGAACATCACTTCAGTTTAAGCTTTGGTAGATTCAGACCTGAGGAACTGACATCTATCTGTCTGTGCAATATTAACTTCAACAATTCAACAATTTTTCTCATTGATCACTTTTATTGTCCTTGGCCCATTAACAAGTAAACATGCATGATATTTGAGGGTGTAGATCCTATTGTCCTCATCCTGTATATGAAGATCATTTGGTAGTTCTTTTTCTTTCATATTTTCCCTTTTCAAAACTTCTAAATTGGAAGTTGTATCTTTTCTGTCTACAGGTACACATACACGCACATGGTGTTATGTACATGTGTATTGTGTGGGCACATTTGTGTGTGTGTGTGTGTGTGTGTGTGTGTGTGTGCACATGACAGTCAGAGGAAAAGAGGAAGATGACAAGCATCAATTGCTCTCCATTTTATTTTCCTGTTTTGCTAGTGTCTCTGCCCAGTGAGTTCCAGGAATTCCTGAAGTGCATCTTCACTGGACTAGGATTACAGACATAAGACACTGTACCTGGGTTTTAAGTGTCTACTAAGGGTCTCAACTTTGATGAATTATCATACTAATATGGCCGGCACTTTACAGATTGAGACATCACCACAGCCCTTGAAGTTTTATCTTTCATGTAAATGAATACTTAATCATTCAGAAACACTTGTAACATATAGTCCATATAAACAAAAAGGAAGTCAACATTAGGGAGATTTTCCAAAAGTGAAGATTCATAGGATTGAGGAAGTATTTGGGGAGAAGGTTGAACATGGTCAAAACACATATGAAACATTCAAATAACCAATAAAACTGCATATTCAGAGGAGATTAATCTAATTAGATGATAACCAAAACTAAGAGTAAAACCATGTAGACAGTGACCTGATAATAGTGTAAAATTGCACATTTGGCTATTTAGAATTTCTTATTCACCTGGTTTGCATTACGTACCAACACTCCCTGTAGCTTGTTTTCCCCTAAAACTGTATAATTCTCAAAACTGCTGATCTCTCATTAGTTCTTTATAGAAAAGTGTCATTTCCACATAAAGCCACTAATGCAACATAAATAAGAACCTAAGCATGCATGCCCTATGTAGTTAAAAACAGGCTCATTTCCATCGCCAGTCACCCCTGTCTGCTTCTGAGATCATGGCCATTCCTAACTGATATTTCAACATCAACCACTGGAAAGTAGTGTTATGTTCTTGCACTCACAGTTTGTGATCTTCAGGGTTCTCTTGACTTCTCCGCTTCCTGATCCCCCACAGCCGTCCTCGTCATCACAGTCTCCACTAGATTGCTCCAGCATGCCGTCACCACTGCCTGGCTGAAGCAGCTCCCTTGCACTGGGTTTGGGTGATCTACCCTGTAGCAACTAAACACAGACAACAGCAGGATACGTATTACCACAGATGTACATGTTCTTCAACATTTTAGTCAGAAATAGAATGACAATGATTCTCTTAGACGAATTCCCTAGTTCTGTGTAGATATGTAGCTAATCAAAGCATCATCTTTTTAAGCATTAAAAAATGAAAATAACTGGAACCTGAAAAGTGATGGGCAAAATCTGGCATCTGCAAGGAGCAGCAGTCTACGTATGAACTCTAATGTGAAGCTGTGGAAAACAAACTCAGGACATGTACTGCTAAGTGGTTTGCCTCAATGGCCCTGCATTTCCGAATAAGCAGAATCTAACCGCAGTCAATTTGCACCGTTATACAATACAACCCTCACTGTGTTTATACAATACAATCTTGGCTGACGATCTTGTACTTGTTTGTAAACTGACAATCAGCATTTCCCCAGGCATGGAGTGGCTATCCTTACACAAAAGAATTAATCAACAAATATAGCATTTTGGACAGATAACTTGTAGAATCACTAAACACTCCTCAAGTTAGATATATGGTTCAATGTGTGTGGTATAAGACAAATTTAAAATTCAACTAGAAGTTCTGCAAATAATTGTTTTTTTAACTCCACAATACTTAATTCTCATGAATTTCACTTGCTCCTAAGGGTGAAATATTTACTCTAAATAAAAATTTAATTTAAATAAAAATTAATCTAAAGCAAGCAAAATAAATGCAATATCCATTTCTCTTACAGACTAGAAATGCTATTAATATCTTGAAAAATATTGAAAATGTTGGGACTTCTTTCCAAGAAGTTGATGATATGAATGGTAGAATATTTCACTTGAAGGTAAGACATATAAAAATAATCCTAGATACGACATTTACTTCTCAAAGGCAATTTTGGAGTTCATATGGCTAAACATAAGAAAGCAGGTCATTGATGTTGAAAGTTAGTACCCCTCTATTGTCCACTTAATGGGTGTTTATATTATATGTCTTTGCAAAAGCTGAGGAGAAGAACTTCAGTGGCACTAATGCAAAGATAATAGTTAGGCCTTCATCTGAAAGATACCATCTCATACTTAAGAACCTAGAGGAAAATAACATCACAGTACTGATGAAAATGCACTAATTATTCTTTTCCTATCTGTATCCCCTTGATCTCCTTTTGATGTCTTAATGCTCTAGCTAGAACTTCAAGGACAATATTGAAGATGTATGGAGACAGTGACAGCCTTGTCTTGTTCCAGATTTTAGAGGAATTGTGTTTGAGTTTCTTTCTATTTAGTTTGATGTTGGCTTTTGGTTTGGTGTATATAGCTTTTATTATGTTTAGGGGTGTTCCTGTCATCCCTGAACTGTCCAAAATCTTTATCAGAGAGGGATTTTGATTTTGTCAAAGGCTTTTTCAGTATCTAGTGAGATAGATGACCATGTGATTTTTGTTTTTATGGTGGATTACATTAATGGATTTTCATGTGTTGAACCATCCCTGCATCCCTGGGATGAAGCCTACTTGATCATGGTGGATGATTTTTCTGATTTGTTTTTGGATTTGATTTGCCACTATTTTTTGAGTATTTTTGGATCAATGTTCATGAGGGATATTGGTCTGAAGTTCTCTTTCTTAGTTGTATCTTTGTGTGGCTTGGGTGTCAAGGTTATTGAAATTGTAAAATGAGGTTGGCAGCCACCCTTCAGCTTCTATTGAGTGGAATATTTTGAGGAGAATTGGTATAAGCTGTTCTTTAAATTTCTAGTAGAATTCTTCTCTGAGGCTATCTGGCCCAGTGGAGAGGCTACCTTAAATGCCTTTCCCTGATAATAAGATTGATGGCTACATTATATGCCATCCTAGAGCCTTCAACCAGTGGATGATGGAACCACAGGTAGACACCCATATCTAAACACTAAGCTGAACTCCTGGAACCTAGTTGCAGAAAGGACGGAGTGATGAGCAAAGCAGTCAAGACCGGGATGTTGAAACCCACAGAAACAACTGGGAGCTCATGGATCCATCCCCTAAATTTGCGTGTCAGTGAGGAGGCCTCAGCAATCTATGGAGTCTTTGGTAGTAGATCAGTATTTATCCCTGGCATACAAATGGACTTTGGGAGACCATTCCACATAGAGGGATACTCTCATAGCCTGAACACATTGGGGAGGGCCTAGGCCCTGTCCTAGATGAAATGACAGATACTGGATATCCCCCATGGAGGGCCTCAGCCTCCCTGGGGAGCAGAGTGGGGATTCTATGGGGGGCCTGGGAGTGCAGGGGGTACAAGGTGAGAAGGGGAGGGAGAGGGAGCCAGGATTGACATGTAAAGCAAACTTGTTTCTAATTTAAGTGAAAAAAAAAAGATTTATAAAATTATGAATAAAAATATAGGCTTACTAATGAAAAATACTTAGAACAAGCAACTGGACTTTTATGTTCAGTAGGCTCACAATTAAAATATAAGAGGTCACAAATCCTGAAACATTACAATTTCTTTAAAATTTCTATTTTTCTAGCAAAAAATCCTTGTAAACAATTATAATGATTTTTTAAATTCTCTTTGTCAGTAGGTCTCAAATAACCTGTCACTAGAGTTAATTCTAAAAGAGTAATCTCAAAGTCAGTGAATCAAATGCCATCGTACAGTGCATCTTCTTTAATGTGGTTAATGAGTTCCTATGTATGCCAATTCCTGGAAGTGGGGCAAGGATCATCACAATAGGGAAACACAGATACACAACTTTAAGCACTCAACCCTGAAGAATCAGTGTAAGAAGAAGTGTTTTATTTTACAGCCTTTATCATTTATTATTCAAGTACTTTAGTTATCATGTAGCGAGTATAACAATAAAAGGCCTAGCCTATGAATTTCAAAATACTGAGAAATGAATCTTGACTCTGATATGAAGCATGGGTATGGGCAAATTCTTTGAATAACTAATTCAGCTTCCTCACATCTAAAATAATCACAAGAATATTGAGAGAAAAACAGAAAAACACAGTACTTTGAAAATAAATGTGCTAACACATTAAAAGCTAATGCATTTAATCACTATTATCTACTATATTATGCATTCTATCATAATGTTATTGAAACATCCAGTGTTAGCTTAAAGAATTATCTGGAAAGTAATCCAATTATGAATAAGCCTTCTGTAACAGCAGTAGCAAACGCCACAAATAAAAGAACAGTAGGTGATAAAAAATAATACAGGTCACTTGCAAAATCACCTGTGATATTCTCTGTATTTATTCTTCACATTAGCTTCGGTCTAGGAAATATCTAAGACAATGTAGGACATATCTGAGACAACCAAGGCAAAACTTTAAGCACCAATATTATATGAAGGTAAACTTTCTTTCAAATTATCTGTACTGAGCAGAACTGGAAAACAGATTCCAGAATTTCCCACTGTTGTCCCTGGAACTTGGAAGCTGGTATCATTTTCTGACCTGATTCTCTAAATTTTCAGGATTAACGTGAATGTGCTTACTCATTTATAAGTTACTTTGAGGTTTCTGAAGACCAGGATTGTCTGCAGGAGAGTAATAGCATCAAATCAGAGTTTCAAATGACAGACATTTTTCTGGCCACTACCAGAGACAGAAACTGGGAGACACAGGTATTTGTAAAGTTGGATATAGGAAACCACAATCTATAAGATCTGGTTTTGATCAAGACCAGTAAGGTTCCCATGGGAAGGGTCTGACTATGTGAGATATTTAGGAACTAAAAAAGGAGTGATCTTCTAGTAGAGTTTTAAGTCACTGGTCTTATAATTCTCCCCATATAGTCTTGATTCCCTGGATATGGCTCATTCCTCAGGATCCCTACACAGAGTCCAATGTGACCATTTGATTTCAGCTATGTGACAACCCAAGCTCAGTGTTGGAGCTCGAGTACAAACTAATAACTAGTTGCCACCTTAAACTGCTAAATGCATGGTCATTTGCTATGTACCAAGAGAAATTTAGTACATACACATATCCACACTTGGACAACACTTTTTAGAATAGTTTTTAAAAATATTTTTATATTTTTGGTTGTGAGCATAGCTTTAACAGCTGGGCAATCTCTCCAGCCCATTCTCTTTGGAGGATTACCTTGCTCACCCTAGATAGAGGGGAGGGCCTTGGTCCTGCCTCAAAGAGATGAGCCAGATTCGGTTACCTCTTCATAGGAAGCCTTGCCCTCTCTGAGGAATGGATGGGGTAAGGTGGGGACAGCAGGAGGAGGGGAGGGAGTGGAAATGGGGAGTGGTATGTAAAATAGGACAATATTTGTTTTAAAATAAAAAATCATGTCAAAAATATTTTTAAATTCTCCAACACTCTTTAGAAACAGGTCTGCCTACAGAAAAAAATGGTGCCCTTAGAAATGAACTATCATAGTTCAACAGTGTATAGGTTTGCACTCTCTGTTTCATTGCAATCCTATTTTCCATGTCTTTGTGTAGGAGAAAAAACTGCTGTTCCTATGATTGTGATGCAAATAAATCCAATAAATCCAGAATCTCATGGGGTCAACAATCCCAGATCTGCTGTCTCCTCCCTTTAAAGAGATTGGTGTACCCTGTTCCTACAGTGAAGGATTTATCTTATCTATCTTATTTTCTAAGAAAAAATAATAACTCGTTTTCCCACTTCTGCTCTTACATAGTCATTCCTGTTCATGTGACAGAATGTGATTATCAACCTGACTGGACTGAGAAGATTGTAAGATATTAGTAAAACACACAGCACTCTGACTTGATGAATGCTTTAATCCCCTGGTAGGTTCAGAACCTTAATAGACTATTGAGAGAAGTAGAATGGTTACATGGTGGGATCTGGTTGGAAAACGTGGGCACGGGGAATGTGCCTTTGGTCGCCTGCACTGTGTCCTAGACCTTTCCTGTTAAGTTTCTACTCTGCGTGCTTTCCTCCATGACATGATGTTTTCTTCTAGTTTTCCTTTCGTAATGGAGACCTCTAAAAACAATTCTTCCTCTCTTTAAATTGATCCTGTCAGCTACT